TAATTTCAACACGAGCGGGGTCAAATCCTTTGCAGACGACTTAGCTGTGCGAAACGGTCCTGTAAGCAGTAGAGTAGCCTTGTTGTTACGATCTGCTGAGGGTAAGCCGTCCTTCGCCTCGATTTCCCCAACGATGACTCTCGCAGGGCGAGGGCGTGGTAGGGGGAGCAGTGTGTGGGCTCCAAGGCGATTTATTCGTCTGGAAGGGTTGCGCTTCAGGGTAGGCAGGTCTGACTTGGTAGAATCCAAGTCGGGTTCGTCTTTCACCCTGGTGCTGCTGCTTCTCGGTGGCTGCTGCAGGGTAGGCAGCTTCGACTTGGTCGCGGTGGGAGCAGTCCTGTCCGCTGTAGCTGGCTGGGGGTGCTACAGGGTAGGCAGGAATGAGTTGGTCGCGGCAGCGGTTATCTGGGCGGCTATAGGTTAAGCAGCTTCAAGTGTAGGGTAGCTAGCTCTGGATACAGCGTAAGCAGGTCTGACTTGGTGAAATTGGTAGCCGGATCGGCTCCCGGGTAGGCAACTTTGCAGGGACCTCTAGCGCCTTCCACAGAGCTGCTACGGGGTTGAGGAGACTACCACCGTGGTCAGCGGAGGCAGCTCTACCTGTACGGCAGCACCCCGAAGGCCTCTGTAGCACGGTTCGGCAGCTTTTTGCCCGTGAGTCGATTTTGAAATTTCCCATAGTTAAGAATTTTGCGGAAAACAAAAAGTGACCCGCGAGGCAGGTCCGGCGTGCGGCGGTCAAAAACAGGCCCGGAGGGTATGTGAGAGGGCACCATCGGCCCGGGGAGGGTCCAGGGGACGCTTCAGGGTAGGCTTTCAGTTAGGAAGCCTAGGGAATAGGTGGTCCTCTTTCGGGGGGGAGTTTTCAGGAAGGTAGGTATGCTGGCCTGGCTCTGGCTCGGTCCGGCTGCTGGGCGGGTTCCTTTTGCTCTGCTGCAGGGTAGGCAGCTTTTACTACAGGGTAGGCAGGTCTGACACAGCGGCGGCGGGAGCTCAGGTTGACTGAGGCAGGCTAAGGGCAGGCCTGGCTATTTAGGTCAGCTACAGGGTAGGTAGCTTTTACTTGCTTAGTCAGTTTTACTACAGGGTAGGCTGGATTTAGGTGGTAATGTGCGTGAGCAGGTATGTTGAGTTTACTTTTTCAGGTTGATGGGTAAAAGTGTGAGTGAGAGGTCGAGTGGAAGCTGGGAAAAAGGTAGGAAATTGAAAAAAGCGCACTTACCCTGAGCGCTGCGGACCCCTGCACACACTGAAAGGTAGAGTAAAACGCAGGCTTTCCAACGCTGCAGCCCTCTTCTCCGTAGCGCTCACCGTCGCCGAGGAATTCGCCTGCGAGTCGGGGGGTACAGGGTAGGTCTAGGGTAGGCCGAAAAGCTGACTACCCTACACATTCAACTTCGATCGGGGCCAGCGCCTGCCGCAGGCGTCTGTAGAAAGTGTGATGACCATCATTATGCTCGCAAAAGCCTGCTCTATCCGCATGCAGACTTTGAAAAAAATGCGTGCGAAATGGTTTTGCGGTTTGGTGGTCGTGAGTCGATTTTTAAAATTTCCCATAGTTAAGAATTTTGCGGAAAATAAAAAGTGACCCACGAGCCCGGTCTGGCGTGCGACCCACAAAAACACCCTCGGAGGGTATATGAGAGGGGAGCAAAGCAGCCCGGCCCGAAAGGGTCGGACAAAGCTGCGGCGCACCCTTCCAGTACCTGATCTTGCAGACTTCCACTGCGTGCTGATTCACTGGTTTGGCGACCCATGGTCCCGCAGCGCTTCAGCATAGTGGCTAGTCGACCCCCACGAAACGGCTTCACTGACCGCGTACTGGGGATGCCTGCGTTACGGCAGCTGGGCTTCGGCCTGGTCTGCCAGCAGTTGGGTTCTGTGGATTGCTGGCCGCTGGCTACGCCTGAAACTGAGCATCGGGAGGCAACCACTCGCTACGGACACCGGAATGGTAGAAGCAGCGTGCTAGGTCCTCCTCCTGGGGCCCCCAAGCCACACCTCCCACAGCGGTTCGGTGCGGCGGAAGGAAGCCCTGGGGAATCTAGAGGGGGAAAGCGATTGCCGCCTCGGCGTTTCTGGCCCTGCCAGATCCGCTGTGAACGGCGCGAGCTCTGTCTCGCCACCAGTAACTTAAATCTCTCCGGCGCTTCTAGCGCTGGTGGCCAACCCCGGCACACGATAGTTACCTGGTTGATTCTGCCAGTAGTCATATGCTTGTCTCAAAGATTAAGCCATGCATGTCTAAGTATAAGCAATTATACAGCGAAACTGCGAATGGCTCATTATATAAGTTATCGTTTATTTGATAGTACCTTACTACTTGGATAACCGTGGTAATTCTAGAGCTAATACATGCTAAAAATCCCGACTTCGGAAGGGATGTATTTATTAGATTAAAAACCAATGCCCTCCGGGGCTCACTGGTGATTCATGATAACTCCTCGAATCGCATGGCCTTGCGCCGGCGATGGTTCATTCAAATTTCTTCCCTATCAAC